TTCCTTCCTTCCTTCCTTCCTTCCTTCCTTCCTTCCTTCCTTCCTTCTCTCCCTCCCTCCCTCTCTTCCTCCCTCCCTCTCTTCCTCCCTCCCTCTCTCCCTCTTGGTATTTCCAATTACCTTGATCTGCCCAATCATTGTTGACCTTACTCTTTGTAGCTGAGATATAAGGCTTCCTCTGGGCAACTCCCCAAACTTGGTCTACTTCACCACAATTCTTATGTCAAACAGAGATGGGTTTCTGCTGGAAAATCATCTTCAATCCAAATGTTCAGATATATTCCCATCAGATTTAGGGAGAGAATCAAAGTAAAATTTGCCTCTTGCTGTTAGTTTGCCTACGAAGTATAATTGTGCTTGGGTAAATGCTCAGCAAATAATTAAGCTATTTCTGCCTCACTACTCCTGGGAATGCAAATCTTGGTGATGCCAGTTTGGAGAAGCGCTTTGAACTGCTCTTGTCAAAACACCATGTGGGGATTCTTCTGCCAGGGCCAGCATTGTCCAGCACTGCCAATTCTTACTCAATATTTTAATAAACATGTTAAGGGGAAATCAACTGGCTACCTTGAGGAACTAAATGGATTTAGAAATATGATCAATATAGCAAAGCAACAAAGGGGACAGGAATCCCTTCCCTCATCCCTTGCAATCAGGGATAATTTCCTTTTTTTCTGATCTATGAACTTGTGCAATCTGATCCCCAATGTGCCTGGTCCCTGACCATGTGGAGAGCTTTGGAGATACACCTATTTTTAGTTCACTCAGCAATTTAAAAAATACTTTGGCTATGATCTGAACAAATTCCTTAGAGAAGAAAATTTTTACATAGTGTGCCTTTTATCCTTCCTCCTATGACTAGGTTCACCTGTAGGCCTCAAAATCATAAAGGACCATCAGGCCTTAAAATGAGGTGCTGGGTGTCAATGTCTTTTCCATGCCTGAAGCCGCTCTTCCGTCCTTGGTGATTTCCAGCTCCAGATGTACGAGCAGAAAAGGTTTGGAGGCCTTTGACTTTCAGTACATTATTCAGGAGTTTTTCCCTTTCTCACAAATATGCTCTTTTGAAAATAATTTGGTGTGAGGGGCTTCTGCAGGAAGTAGACCCCCTGTCTTTGGGCTTACAGGAAAGAGCAGGGGAGATGCGAGGCCGTAGCTAGTAGCACAGTTGGTGATGTTAAGACAAATGGTTAACTCTTAGAATTTCCTCTGTGCCTCAGAGGGAGGTACGGGCAGCCCTGTGGTTCACCAGGGGTGATCTGTCATGGTGTTGGAGGGTTTCAGGCTGCACGGTTAAGACAGAGAAACAGATCCTCGCATGGATAAAGGCAGATGTTAATAATCAACTTCATTTATGGTGGGGTCTGTGTCCCTGGGTGCATGTGAGAACTCTCAGATTTTTAGGTCTCCTTCCCGCCATTCTGAAGTATTTAGAGCAGATTTAGTTTTGCCCCAGAGAGGAGAGAGGAGCTTTTCTGGTGAGGTCACACCTTAGGTCTGGGGATGGGGAAGAAGATCCATCTTCCTCCATCTCAGAGGAGAGAATCTTACTTTTTAGAATCCCTGGGGTTTGCTCAACTCTTTGTTCTCTTTCTTCTACTTCTGCTTTGAGGTCAGAAAGGCCCTGGTAGAAAGGAGTTCTCTGGGCTCAGGGCTCTACCTTCTTGAAGCAAGTAAGCTACTTTTCTTCTGGGGCTATACATTTTCTGTCCGTTTTCCCATTTCCTGGAATTCTTACCAGCATCACTAACCCTCTGCTCTTTCCCTCATAGTTTCTGGTATCTAAATATTCTTAGGTATCTTGGGGTTCCTGGGTTTTTTTTTTTTCTGCTTAGGGTTAGATAATGGGCCAGCCCTGTCCTCTGTTTGTCTTTTCCTTTTATACCTTAGTCCTCACTATTTCTGGTGCTTTGCTGGGGTTCAGCCACTTGAACTCTGTGAAGATCCTCACCTGATTGCCTAGGGTCCTTGATGATTTTTTTTCCCTTTGATGATTTTGGATATCCATTTCAGCCTCTGATTTATATTCTGGAGCTGATGTAGGACTGAGCATTTCTGCTGTCATGTCAAGTTCATCTGGATCTTCCTGGTTTAAAATCTGGAAGGCTGTCCTTATGGTCACGGTTGTTAATTTTGCAATTTTGTCATGAGGCTTCTAGGGCAGTATGATAGGATATAGAGAGCACCGGATTTGGAGCCAGGCACATAAGGATCTAAATGCTGGCTCTTACTAAGAGTGGACTTTGGGCAGTTTCAGGATCTCAGGGCTCTTTGTATATGTAATGGGAAGAGCACTACCCATTTTCTAGGCTCATGTGGAGTTAAGTAAAATATTTACTTACTACCTGGTACAAAGCAGACACTTAATGATGTTAGTTTCATTCTCTTTACCCTTATTTTCCTCCCTCCTTTTGTTACCACATTTTCATCTGTGTTCCCTATACCCTGGATTTTATACTTGGATTAGAATCTACCTTCATTTGTCTTTAGATGCACTGCTGTGACCCACACCTGCTGTCCAATGTACACACTTTTTAGTGTAACTGGAGTGCTAGGAATTTATATAGGCACTAAAATGTTTCCTGTAGACATTTTGCTTTATGTGGTGATGGAGAACTTATTTGTCTCCAGGCAGATATTGCTTTGGGGCAATATAAAGTAAGGTTTCACTTGTTGACACAAGTAGGGAAATATGGAAAAACATTATAGAGTAATTGCTTGGATTGGGCGGGACATACACCATCTTTTATGGCTGCAGCCATGGAGGTAATAGAAAACACAAAGGAGTTCAGGCTAAGTAGCCAATTGTGGCTTAGGACACAGGGTTGTGGGTACATTGATCTGATTGTCTCCTTGTATCCTCTCTCCAGCCTGACTCTTTGCCTCCACTTGAAAGGATTTGTGTTTTAGACTGACATGAGGGTGTTTGTGCAAAACCAGGTCTTTAGGCACAATCTGAAGCATAATTCTCTATTTGGGTGACATTGCCCTAAGAGGATGAACATTGATTAGGAGCAGAGAGTTCTCATTATCATGTATAAATCACAGGAATGTTTATAATACATATTTATTTATTATACATGTGATATTAAAATTTCATGGGGTAGTTATTAAAAGAAACTTATGTATTAAAAGGCTCCTTAATGAGGAAACTGTGGAGAGAAAAAAGGTTGAAAAACAGTGGTCTAAGGCAGTGTTTCTCAGCACTGGTTACACACTGGAGTTATTGGGGGAGCTTTAAACTTTTGATGCTTGAGCTCCACTCCAGATCAATTAAACCAGAATCTTTGGAACTGGTCACAGCCATTCATATTTATTTAAAATGTTCCAAAGATAATTCCCTTGTGCAGACAAGACCAACAACCACTGTTCTGGAGCCTGGTTCTGAGTGTGGTCCATGGATTTGCAGAATCATCATCACCAGGGAGCTTGTTAGAAATGCAGAATTTCAGATCCCTAGTTAATTCTCGCGTTTTTTAAAGTTTGAGAAGCACTGGGATAAACTGTTTATATTTGATAAAACCTCAGAGCCCTTCAAGGAAACTGAATCAATCTAACGTCAGTATGTTTCCAGCTATTTGTTTTGGGTCTCTTTATTGGTTTTTGTACTGAATAGCCTGATATATTGAGTGGGGTTGGTTCAAGGCTACCTTTGTGGTCTGACATGTTGGGAAGATGCATGATCCCAGAAACTGAGCAATGACTCATACCAACATGAAAAAAGGTGGACAAGTTCAGCCAGGGGGAACTAAGTGTGGAAGGATCTCGGTGCTAAGCCTGTGGGCTGACACATGGAAAGCAATGGATGGGGTGGGATTAACTTGGCAGATCCATAGAATGACTAAGAACAGAGAAAGACTGGAAAGCTTGGAAACTGCTAGAATCTTGTTCTCGAATTTTGGTGAGGTCTACTGCTTATTCCTTTGCTCATTCACGCATTCATTGATCCAACAAATATTTATTGAACGATAATCAGATCTGACCTGGAGCAAACATTATGGCAAAAAGCAGAATAAGCATGACCAGACCTTGAAGGGAAAACTTTGGAACTAACACTTCAAAGAAGTATGTTAGGAATTGGCAAGTTTTAATTTTAATTTTTAATTTAA